ATCTGAGCAGCCGGGAGTGAAACAAAGAATTCGGTGCTCTGGGGAGGGCAGCCTGCAGGAGGGGGGCCGGGGGGGATGGCACACCACTGCCTCCCAGGTGATCTGCCCCAAGTACATGGCCGGCCGGGGAATGGGTGGCAGCCTCCGGCCTGCAGGGAACAGAGGGGAGAGAGCATTCCCTGGCGGGGTGCACGAGCCACGCCGGCGAGCCCCTGGCCTGGCCCCGCGGGCGCCTCCAGCCTTGGACCTCGCGTCAAGCCCAGCCATGGCCTCGATGAGCAGACGCACGGTCACCGGCCCCGGAGGGCACCTTTTGCGAGGCTCAGAACCTGGCCTCCTGGGTTCCCCAACCCTCGGGCTCCCCGTGGCATCCAAGCCGGCCCGGCAGTGCTCCGGCCAGCCCTGCAGCCTGTTCCTCATGGGTCTAGATGGCCATGCTGTGACCCCAGAGGACAGACCGGGCTCAGCTGGACAGTCAGAACAGGACTCCTGCTCAGGATCATCTGGGGACAGTGGGGTGGAAGGGGGTGGGAAGAGGGTGGGGGGGGGTGAATGGAGGTGGGAGTGAGTGGAGGGGGTGGGGGCAGGAGGGGGGCAGGAGGGGGGAGCGTAGAGGGTGGAAGTCACCGGATGGGGAGACCACAGGGGCTGGTTGCAGAGATTTTTCCCTCAAGACTCGGGTCATAATACACGGATGTAATAATTTAAGTGTAGGAAGCTGCTGTTATCCAGGATCTGGTTAAGGCGGGAGGAAATGTGCTGGGGGCTGATGGCCAGCGCTGTGGGCGGGCCTTGGATTCCCGCTCTCCACCTGATCGCTCAGGCACCCCAGGTACTGCTGCCGCCGCCGAGACAATAGTAACCCGTGCGCTAATTTTAGCGCATTTCTGACGGGGAGGAGGCCGGAGGGGTGGGCTGCCCTGTATGACTAATGCCGCCTCGCCATCGCCTAAGCCATACTTAGTAACGTGGGGTATAAAAATAAGCATGGGGTTCAGTTTTTTTTTTTAAAGCTGACTTCTGTTTCCTCTCTTCCATTCCCTCTCCCAAAGACGGATTTAACTAATTCCCCCTTCGGCTCACAGCTGATAGACACGTATTTATCATCAGCGCCATAAACTCTGGAATTCTCTTTCTCCTCTGCGATAAAGAGCCACGACGTAGACATGAAAGTCTGGCCCTCATGGCTGTGAGACCCAGCGTCCAGCCAGGGCCCTGCCGTAGGATAAAGTTTTCAGGCCCTGTTTAGTTAAGACTGAAGATCTGGTACCCAGCCAATATCCACCACTCAGGGCTCTTTTCACAGTCCAAAATGATTTGGCTTAAACGTTTCCAACTGTGATGAGGCCCCATGTCAGTGATTATGCAGCCATTCACTTTTCCACATCAACATCAAAGTCATTAGCAGCCGCGTATTACTGCATTGGCTGAAATTCAGTTAAAGACTAGAGGGAAGTTGCTCTTTATTAAGATAAATCATTGCCTTGGTGATGTCACCCAGGAAATAATCGATTTGCTGTGTTGGTTAATTTCCTCTCTCTTTGATCTGTGAACTAAGTTCAACAGATCATCGTTTCACACAACTACCCCTCCAAAGATGTCGTAAGGGAAATATGCACACGTGTGTTTTGATTGCTGTGGTCTTACAGTGGTGATAAACAGAATAGTAAGATAGACGGCTCCGGCCTTTCTGTCCGTTCCTTCCCTGGTTCTCTGATCTCCTCCATGTCTGAGGGCAGCTGGTACCCTGAGCTGCTGTCTTGTGTGGGGCCATCCTTGTCCGGAAGTGAGGATACACGCCGTGAACATCACAACGACGTTCACTTACAAAACATTCCTCGAGCTGCAGCTCATGCTTCCTTCCTACAAGGAGAGGAAGCTGAGCGGATGTTTTATTTTTCTGTGTTTTGGTGGACTTAGATGGTTTAAAATGTATATGTTTTAGAAAGAAACATTGAACACGTGCAGGAAAGTATAGAAAATCATAAAAATCCAGGGGCGCACAGCACAGCTTTATCAACTTCTTACAGTGCACTTCAGGGGTGTGTGTGTGTGTGTGTGTGTGTTCAAGATACAGATCACACGGATACAGCAGAGGACTCCTGAGAACCCCCTCAAATGGAGCCACTACATGAACTGATGCAGATCCATGTTTTATTTTTATGTGTCACTTTTGCAACCTATACTGTGTAACTATATAATGTGTGTTATTTAACAAGTTTTCAAGAAGTATAAAATTCAGAAGTGCACCCAGCAGGCCCGTGGCTCTTGTTGGCTTCATCTGTGTGTGTTTTCGGCACTAGCAGGGAAGCGTGCAGGGCTAAGCCGCTCACCTAACTGTGGGGTAGCATTACACGGCAGGAACACATTGAAATCACAGCCACGGGTCTTTGTTCATGGGTATGAGATTCTTTTTCTTAGGGTAAGAAAAGAATGAAAGATTTTAAATGCCACAGAATTAAAGAGGAGCTATATGACAATGGAAAGAAAATCGGAATCACTGCAGACCTCTCCACACAAACCCTCAACACCAGGAGAGCCTGGAACGGTGTGATCCAAGCCCTGGAGATCAGCAACACCAACCCAGACTGATCTACCCAGAGAAACTATCCTTTACCTTAGATGGTGAAACCAGAACCTCCCATGACCAACAAAACTCGGAGGAATTCATGATCACTGAACCAGCATCACAAAGAATTCTAAAGGGAGGAATACAATCTGAAGAAAACAATCAAAACCAAAGAGGCACATCAGACAAAATTCACTAGAAGATCATTTAGTAAACACAGGAAGGGGAAAAAAAAACAAAATACAAGAAACCAAGATAATGGCAGAAGACATGACACCCCAAACATGAATGGATTCAATTCTCCAATCAAAAGAAGGACAGCAGATTGGATCAAAAAACAAGCTCCATCCAATGCTTGTAATCTGATTTGAGTTATTTTTGAATTGATTAAAGCTTCCACTAATTATGATATGTCTTTTAATATATTACATGTATATCACATGCATTAAATAAATAAAAGGTATTAAGCTCTGATTTTAGAATAGAGAGTTCAGATACAGACATTTGTACAACATAACATACCTTAAAATATAAAAAAAAAACTGTCAAGAACGTAATAAAGGCTGTCTAGCTAGCTTATAATAGAAAAGAGCCCTTTTACAAGAAGGAGGAGGAGGAAGAGGAGGAAGAAGAAGAGAAGGAGGAGGAGGAGGAGGAGGAGGCGGAGGAGGAGGAAGAATCCCAAGCATAGGGTTTTTCCTTCAATGCCCAGCCAAAAAGAAAAAAATAAATAAATTAGCAATCTTACCAAGAACTAGTTGCTTTTAGCTGATCATGTGAATGTTAAAAAAAAAAAGATAGAAAAAAGGAAGGAAAGAGAGCAAGTAAGCAAGTGAGCAAGAAATGAATAAAGGAATAAAGAAAAGGAGGAGGGGAGAGAGGGGGAGAAGGAGGAGAAAGGAAAGAAGGGAAGAAATTTCTTAAAGGAAGTATTTCTGGTCACGGGTATCTCACCCTCATCTTGAGCCCTGCTGAGTTCACATTCCCACCGCCAGGGCTCTCCCGAAGGAGCCCCTGAGCTTCCAAGCTCTTTTTCCACATTGAAGGTAAATTGGGGTGAACTGCCCAGACACGGGGTCTTAGTCCTCTCTCAAACCTGAGTTTGGACGGCTGGCTCCAGAGGTACAATGGCTCTGACGCCTGCAACACTTAGACATCTCTTTGTACAAGAGAAACAGCGGAACTTCTCTAAGCATTTTAGGGCAAGCTACTTACTAAGAGTAAGGGGCAAAAGTGTATTTTCCCGCAGGAGGCAGAGCAGTTCGTCTTTGAGAGCTACAGTTTCAAACACAAAGGAAGGAGGGGAGAAGGAAGGAAGCAAGAAGGGAAGGAAGTAAAATTTTAGCTATCTTCCTTGCAATGTACTACTACTCAGCCAACAATACAGAAGAAAATATTAATCAGATTGGATTGAAAATATTTCAGCGAGTTATTACCCTAATTTCAAAGATGTGCATTTTTGACGATAGTTTCTCTTTTCAATCTATTATTGCATTTTGATGTTAAAAGATAATTCAACGGTTAATAAAGTATTAAACTAATTACATTGGCATCAAAATGGTCCCATCTATCAATATTTAAAATATACCAAAATTGGATATTAGTCTATCAAGCAGCTGGAAATTGCCAAGGTACTCCAGGCTGCTTATGAGGAGTTCATATTTTATAAGACACTGTCCTCACATTACTAATATGAAGTGCATGCAACGGCAGCAGACAATTACATTAATGAATGACTCTTCTGTTCTCAAATCCCACAGAAGCCATTTCTGCAAAACGCACTGGAAAAATCTGTTCTGTACTTTAGAAGAGGCTGCGGTTTCCACACTGCGGTTTCAGCCACGAGAGTCAGTTCCATTGTATCCAGGTACTGGCCTGGAATTCTACCCCCCTGAAAAATGATCAAATAATTTCGTACCCCGAACAAGTTCAAGTCCACGGAAGCATCGGTATGACGTAAAAGAAAAGCTCAACATTTTACTGATGATCCCAAAGAGTAAGTTTTGTTATTTCCAACTTAGGTAAACGGCCAACTCGCTACCACTCATGGTATTCCTGCATTGGAAGTAATTTCCTTTTTGAACTGATCACCACAGACAGACTTTTCAAGCTTTGGTGACTCTGCCTCACAGGTACTGTTTTGCTTAGGAAGTTGAGAAGCTGGTTTTCCTGGCAGTATCACATACCAAATGGCGTTTTAAAAGCCGAAAGTGAGACCACTTTGTCTCCTTCTGGACTATGTGTGCCAGGAACTCTGACGGTGCAGCTCTCTCTACCAGACGTTTCTTTTCTGGACTTGGAGATAGGCTGTTTTCCAAGACAAGATTGGAAAGGAAGCCCCCGCCCCACCGGGTCGCCCTTCTCCATGTGAAAAAGCACAGGTCCAGAGAGCGTGAAGGAGGAGCTCGGGAAGTCGAGAGCAGAACCGGAACCAGCCGGCAGACATCCAGGCTCCAGCTCCCGTCCTGCGTCTTGCTGCACACCTGTCTCCGTCTCTGTTCCTCCTCTGAAAACCCGCCTGGCCCTCTGGAAATGTGCAGAGAGCTCGGGTGAGTGAGCGGGGAAAAGGCTGGGCCGGGACGCAGGGCCCAGGCTCCTGGGCCGGCCGAGGGGAGGCCTGCGGCGGGAACGCGGGCCGAGCTGTGTGGAGTCCTCCTGCGTTCGTTCCTCCCCTGCAGTGAACTCCATTTCCCCAGCTCCTCCGTCCCAGGAGTGGTTGGGAGGAGAGCAGGAGAGCTGGAGAATCATTTCCACAGCTCTGGAGGAGGTACCTTCTCATCAGGACAACACAAGAATCGAATCCGAAGGAAAAGGACAGGCTTAGACCACGGAAAAAATGAAAACACAAAGGACAGAGCAGGAAGGACCCTGCAACGTGAAGTGGGCGGGGGGGGGGGGGCGGTGTCCCGATCCACGCGTCTGCTCTCATTAACAAGTGAGACTGTGAATAGGTGCCACATGCAGAACCAGCAGATCTACCAGGATGTCAAAAAACCCAAGATTCTCAACAGAAATGACTTTCTCCTCACAAAGAACCAAGTAAATGACACACTTTGAACACCTATAAGATGCCATCTTTCCCATAGCAGCCAGGGAAAGACTGAAAACAGCAAAAGCGGTAGGGCAGGCGGCACGCATCCGTGTAGACAGCCCTACAGCGGGGCTGGACCAAACAGGCCCAATAGCGTCATCTCGGCAGACATGGTCACAAAACGTGGGCAATAAATACATCAACAAGCCTACAATACATCCAAGGGTCGTTATGACACAGCGCCATCGACCCCGATGGGAAAGTATGGGTAGGGTCAGACTCTGGAGAGGCTCATTTTTAAATGACTATTTCTTAAAAATAGCTAGATTGTCCTATATATCTATTAACTACGGAGTGAAACTTATAATTACGCATTTACCTGTAGGGGCTCCTAGGCATCTGTGTTAGCCTGGTATATGTTTCTAGAAATATACTCTTCCCTGTGCATAGAAACGCAGGAGAGGAACTTTTTTAGAATTTATGGACAGTCACAGAAAGTGTTTTCTACGTGGATGACAGACACTGGGCTGAACTCTGCTCCAGGCAGTAGCAAGCAAGTTAAACCATCACTGATTGACTTTTATTAACTCTGATTTGTAAGGCTGATTGGCTCAGGCTTGCAGCTGATGGACAGATTTTTGTCTTCCAGCCAAGACAGGAATCCAGCGAGCGGAGATAGTGTCACTCCCCAGCCCACCGTGCTTTGAACATCGCTACTTTTTTTCCCTCTGTTTTACATACTCAAGCTGAAATGTTTTCACCAATTATTTTGTCATTCTTTGTAAAACTTAGTTTAATCAGACGTTGAGTATGATCTTTGTGCTTTAGGCTATGCTGTAAATAGCAGTGAAGAGGTGTTTTGTGTTTGTTTAGAGAGCTGGATGCATTGGTTCAGTTGGGAGAGAGGATGTAATAATGCCAAACCTAAGCACCGAGCTACCGCCAAAGGTTTATTTGTTTCGCATTTCCTGTGAATAGCCATCCTTGAAAATTCCCCTGTGCACTAGCTAGGCCTTGACTTGAAATTCTCCCATGTAACAGACATATTTCTTTTTCTTTCCTATCATTAGTGTAACACCTGCTTTTTCTGTTTAATTTTTGCTGTGTTTCAGCTCATCTCATCTTTAATCTCATTTTCACTGCAAAAGAGCCTAAAGGGCTCTCACTTTTCTTTGAGATACTTAAACCTGTTTCATAGATACATTGGGAGATTCTCTATGCATCCTATCGTTACAATTTCGCGATCAGAACACCGCCTGTCATTTCTCTCTGTGACGGTGTGGTAGGACTCGTTTGGCGGCTTGGCCCGGGAGCTGCGTTAACGCCAGAGCCCCTCTGCGTCCGGAAAGAAGGTGCATTTTGCCACTGCTATGTACGGAGTCCTGGGAAGGTTTTCTATGTCTTATCTTTTCCATCAATTGCCAGGAGGAAAGTTATATCTCCAGCTACAGACTTATCCCTCTCCTTCCCTCCCTCCCTCCCTCCCTCCCTCCCTCCCTCCCTCCCTCCCTCCCTCTCTGTCTCTGTCTCTGTCTGTCTGTCTCTCTCTCTCTCTCCTTTACAAAAGGTCTTACTAAGTAGCCCAGGCTGGCCTCACGCTGGTGCTACTTCTGTCCCGGACTCTCCACGGCTGTGATTGAAGGCACGCTCCTCCACGCCTACTCCTTTCTTCTGCTTCTTTGTTTAATTTATTTTTCTACACACATTTTTGGGACTTTGTTATGTGGTTCATATATAGTTAATAGTGTTATGCTGTCATGAGGGCTGGGTGATTTTTATGAAAATCTCCTCCTTTATGTGTTACTCTTTCTCTTCTTAGGTCTACCCGGGCGCTGGGCACCTCATGAGCTTTCTCACGTGAGTTGCTCTGTCCATCTTTTTACCTTCAGCGTGTTTTAACCCTGCAAGCATGTTCTGGGAAACAGCTTAGGATCAACCTTGGCTCTGTCCTGCTCCCGTCTGACAATCCTGGCCTTTAAATTAGCACGACGAAACCCGGTCCCCTCCTGCCCCATCGTGCCCGGGCTAGAATCCCCTCTGAGGAGTGTAGCCATGCTGCATGCATGGCCCGCCGGTCAGCGCTCGGGGCTGGGACTGAGCAGGGCAGCAGCACTGTGCGCAGCCAGGCTGCCCGCATGCTACCTGGTGATAACCCCAGCGTGCGAGAGGAGGGGCCGAGGGAAGCCCCCCTGCTGCCCTTAGCCCCAAACTCTAATATGTGCAGACACAGAGAAGGACCACATCCATACGCGCCCTTTACAGTGGACAGCTGTGTCTGGTCTGCTCATTACTGTCGTCGTTAGCGCCAGCCTCATACTGGGCCCGGCCTGCAAACATTCTCACAGTAAGTAGAGGACCACGCACAGGCCTGGCTGGGCCTGTGGCTTCAAGAGTCCTGGGTCTTGGGGTACATGCCCCCTCCCAGCCTATGTGTGGGCTTCTTCAGCTCTACTTTCAGGCTGCGCCTCTTCCTGTTGGCTTGCCATGGTTCTGTGGATGACTAACCTCGCGTGGCTTTCTCAGTGAAGGAAAGCCCCGTGAGCTTGTGACATATAAAGAACCTCACGCCGATGTGCAGCCAGCACCTGGTAGAGACAGACGATTATTTGTTTCCTAGACGAATGAACATGGCTGAGAGCAGGATCTCTGTGGTCAGAGATAAAATCAACAGAAACTTTCAAAATAGAAAAAAGAAAGAATCAAGACACCCACAAGGGGGGTGTGCGGGGCCGTGAGCGGAGCCCGGCGAGGCACACCCAGCGGGAGCACCACAGGGAGGAGCCCGGTCCTCGGCCCCTGGGTGACAAAGCGCAACGCTCGCTCCCAAATTTCAAGTCAGCCCCACACAGACCTGGCCTTCCGATCCTGCCCGCTGCGCGTCCCGTGGGGAGGGGGGAGATGGGGAGGTGAGGACTGTCCCGAGCGGCACCCCTGCCCGGCTGGCCCAGCTGGCATGTGTGCTGTCCCAACGCAGACATTCGGTCGTGATGTCGAGAGAAGACGTGCACACAGATTCTAGGGAGGTCTGTGTTCCATGTCAACCTCGTTGTTATTATGACCAGTCGCACTACGTCTGGCCTGCGGGAAGTTCCGGGGAGCATAAAGGGATCGGAGTCGGGGTGAAGCCTTTGCTCTCTGACCACACGTCCAGAATGGCGGCACCATGGCCGGCACATGACCACAACCCCACGAAGGGAAGTCTCGGTTTGCCAAGAGAGGAGCAGCGTTGGTTCTGTGAGTGGCCGTGGCCGGCTCTGTGAGCCCCTGTGGCTTCCCGGGGCTGGCGGTGAAGGTCCTGCGAGACTGTGCTCTGTGTGTTCACGCCCTCGGCCCCGGCGTTGGAGGGTAGACAGGGGCCGGGCCGGGAGGCCAGGACGGGGAAGCGAGGCCCCCCGCCCCCCGTCTCCCCGGGACCGGCTGGGAGCTGGCAGCAGTGGGTCACCTCTCAGGGCAGTAGGAGGACAGTCCAGGCCCATGACCTCCTCGGAAGCCGACTCCTCTGCCCAGCTCCACACGAGAAGGCCCAGGTCTACCTTCCGTCTGGAAATCCCTTGGCTTCTCCTAGAATGCAGGACTCCGAGGGGACCATGGGAACTGGAAGGCAGCACTAGGCTACGCATTACATTTTACCACTTGACATGATCACTGGGATCAGAGCTCCTTGAGGGCGCGCAGGTGTGTATTTACATGAAACAGCACGGATTCGGCGGGAGACAGCTGACTTCAACCCCGGAGCTTCCCATGGACACCTAATCACCGAAAAACTGCGCAACCTCGCTATGAGGAACGATGAAAAACAGCACACACGGGTCAGGATAAAAATGATGGAAGCTAACATGTACAGTTATAATTGATAAAGAGGAGGCGAGAAGTTCCTAACATGCCTATCTTTCTACCTGGACTTAATTCACTTGGTATTTAGCAGGGTGTGTGTGTGCGCGTGCGCACACGCGTATGATTTTTATGGCACATAATTTTCAGCATTTGATTCCAGAGCATAAAAATGTGATGATCTAGATCCTATTGTATATTTTTTATGTGATGTGAACTTAGCAATTGTGGTAATTGGATAATGCTAAGCAATACTATTGATATAGACTTTCTTGTCAAGAACGGATCTTAAATTAAAGCATTTCTCCCAAGGTACCAGAAACACATTATTAAAAATTTAAGAATTGCTCAAATACAAATGACGTGGACTCCCTCACATGGTTTGCATTTTGTACTTCTCTTAGCTTTAGTAGCGACATAAAATTGCTTTTTTAAAAATACACATTGCCAGTTTCTAATCACTTTTGCACTTGATTTTCCAGGTGTTCTCTGGTGCGGCCGGGAAGGGCCCAGACCTGCCCGTGTGTTTCCTCTGCCAGCAGCCCCGGGAAGGCCCCGAGAGTTGGGAAGGCTTGAACAATCCATTAGAGGGAACTTGAGTTTGAGGGGAGTGAGTGGAGTTTTGTGGAGATTGGGTATATTCCAAAATAAGAAAAGCCAAGCTTTATCAGTCCACTGCTATTTTCAGTTGCTTTAATAAATTTCAACGTGATGCTGAATTTTGTCGATGCGCTATAATGCAAATGGATATGTTACAGTCCTCAATTTTGATCTGTTGGCGTCTGTTGTGAATCCCGGTAACGTGGCAGGCGCTGTATATATTTAGTAAACACAGTTGGCGTGCGGCACATCCTTCTAACGAGCCTAAGCCCAGCCTGGCGGGACATTAAACCTCGCCAGCTCCCTTAAACCAACAGATGACTTCAGGAACAAATTGTCTTTGGTTATCGGAGAGCTCCTCATGTTATTAATCGGCAATGTGAATGAGAAACAGATACGCACTTTACTCGTGGGCTGCTCGAGGGCTCCTTTGGTATTAAACCCTTTAAGGTGAATACTCATGGGGTAGGGGAATCTGCACTGTGCCAGGGCCTCCTAATCATTGGCTATTTGGGGAGACCAGGGCCACGTTTCTGACCGGATGCAGTGACAGGAGCCACGTCATCACGGCCCGTGGTACAGCCGCAGGCCCCGGGACCCCAGTCCCCCTCCCTCCCCTGGTCTGGGGGAGACAGGCGCCCCTTGGGCGGAGGGGTGCAGGGTGCGGTGACCCCACCAGCACGCTTTGCACCCGGCCTGCAGCCCTGGCGGGAGGCGGCACGGGCGTCAAGGCTGGACGCGGGCCTGCGATGAGGCCGAGGGCGCTGTGGTCTGGTTCTTCTTCACCTGTGGACAGCAGGAGGCTCGGCTTCTTCCTTGTCACCAACCGCACGCGGCGCCGACCCAGCCCCGGGAAAAGTACAGTTCATATGTATGCCGCAGCAACCCGGGAGGCGGGGAAATCTAAGGAAGCCGAAGAACGAGAGCGTAGGCGTGGAGAGGTGATGCTTTCCTATCTCTGCACACAGGGAGGGGCGGGCTTTCACGTGCATGCAGTCACACACACACACACACACACGTGTGCACACACGCCCCTCATGAGCGAGCCCTCACCAAGGCTTGCGTCTTCTGTGGCGTTTTCTCAGTTGTTTTGTGTTGAGCACAAATGACTTATTTGTAGAAGGCCAAAGTAGCCCCAAACGGCCTCCAATAATTATTCATCATCGCAAAGGGGATCAGAGATGTAACATGGACTTAGTGGGGATTTCGTGAGACACGGACTCAGCCTCGTGGGTGTCTGATGTCATTAAACAAACCCGGGACCATGGCAGAAATCCAGAGCACGCTTCGTGGCGCCCGCCTGCTCCTCTCAGCCTGCGCTGGACTCAGCCTGCGCTGGACGGGGCTGTCTGTGAGCGCACGCCCCTCTGCCTCCCGGTGACCTTCCCGCTGACCTCCAATAACGGAGCGCCTCCCCCATTCCAGAAACATCCCCCGGAACCTACCAGTCTGGGCGACCTTCCCACTCTCCCATTGGAAAGCATCACTTAGAGTATTTGTCATGAGACTACTCCATTTCCTGGAGAAGACGGGGAGCTGTCAGGTTGCTGGGTATGCATTTTGGGGAGCAGTTTGACAATCGGAACTGGAACAGGTCCCGGGGTGGGGACTGGGGCTCCCCCGGGAGGCACGGGTGGCGGATGGCGTTCGGGGTGAGCGTCTTAACCGTCACTCGAGGCCGCTCTCAATGCGGGCCTCAGCCTCAGCACACAGCGCTGGCAATGCGCCGCCCCACGGGCCACACACACGCGCTTGGTGAGTAACGAACAAGACCCCTTTTCTGCTGAGCATCTCGCAGACGCAGCCCGCTGGGAGGACCAGGGCGCTGGACAGCAGCGTGTGAGGCGAGGTGTCCCGGGAGGCCACCAGCCCAGAGCCCCTGGCCCGGCCACGCCGCGGGGACAGCTCGGGAACCAGGCCACACCTGGATATCCAGTCTCTGTGCATGAAACTGCGGCGTCCTTTGGATTTCTAAATGCTATCTGACCCGTGTTAGCCACACAGAGGGAATGTGTTTCCGTGTGGAGCTACGGTGTCTGCGTGAGGGACGGGGGAGGGGAAGCGCTCTTAGAGAATACACGCAAAGAGAAATGCACAGTCTCCAAGAAACTGCTGTGAGCGTGGTGGTGTCCTGTGTGGTGTGCGTTGCGGTGGCTGTTTGTGGCCGCTGCGGCAGATTACCACTACGCCATCACAGATATCATCGCTGGCTGGGAAATGAAGGTGTGGAAGGGGTGTGCTTACTAAGAAGCTGAAGGACAGTGCCTTGCCTCGCGAGTTCCCGGCTCTGCAGGCGGCCTTGGCTCAGCACGGGCCCTCCCCCCTCCCCCTTGGCCCTCCCAGTCCTCTGTGTCTCTCCGGCCACGGCAGAGGGGGCTCTGTATTGAAGGGCTGGTGGGATCCGGCTGGTTTCACGTGAGATCCCCACACATCTGTGATCTTAATCTTCCACAGGGTCTTCTCTGCCAGGGAAGAGAACAAATTCACGGAGGACCTGGGCCGGCTGACTTGAAGACAGCCATCATTTCAATCTCTGCTCAGTACTGTTGCCTGTGTGTCATCTGCATATTTACCTATCTAGCTACCCACCTATTTATTTTTATACATGGAAGTAGTTATTTAATAACAATTCTACATCAGAGAACCTCAGAGCTGGCAGACAAGAAGTCCTGACTAGAGTAAGCTTTATGGTTAGGGTGTATTGGATAGTGTTGTTGGTCTTGAACACTATACAACATTCGCAAAGCAGAAGCGTGAATGGACGCACCAGGACAGAGGCCGGATGCCTAATCTCGCTCTGCAAACCACTTCTTGGCTCTGTTGTATTTATTGTTTTTTTAGGATGAGCATCCCCCATAACTATCGTTAGGAATGGAAATGATTAAAACTAACTCTCTATTCTAGTTAGTTTTTTCATAGTCAACAGATCTAATTAAAGTTATAGAACTCCGTATTGAGAGATATTTGATATTTCATAAATGTCGCCAATAAAATACACTGTAACATGTGATTTTGGAATTCTAACCGAATTTCATGGCTGAGGGTAAAAGGCAGATCAAATCAACAGGAAAATATGGAGCAGTGAAGAGAGCGCAGGAATTACAGACAAGGAGGCCAGCATCCCCCCCCCCCGCCCTCCCCCCCCGCCCCCCCCCCCCCGCCTCCCCCCCGCCTCCCCCCTTCCCCCTCCCCACCTCCACAGCTCCAGCCAGGGGAGGTAGAACTGATGCAGGCTGTTCGCCTCGCTTTAAGACCAGAATGTAAAATGAAAACCATTACAACCTCTCAGGATGCAAGGAATGTACAAGACAGGATCAAATCAATTGGAGATGTTATCTCAATGGGAGAAGGAATTCTAGTGAAATTGAAGTCTCAAAAATAAGGCTGTCTGTTTGGAAAGACTGATAGAGACGTAGCGCTAATGAGTCAGTTCTGTCTTTCCAGGCCCTGCCCCGGCTTCTCTTCTACTTAGGCTTGTGATGACAGGGATCGACAGCTCGCTGGCTACCAGATCTAGCCAGGCAGCCTTGAATCAAATCGGTGGATGGGAGAATGAGCAGGACGGGGTGGGGGGGGGGGGGCAGCAGGTGCCGCTGCACGTGTCTCGGACCAAGACGGGGTTGGCGTGTGTGGTGGAATCTCAGGGCCGGGCCGGGTGTGACCGCTGTCCCGTGCCGCTGTCCCTGGGGCTCTGTGGGCACGGGAGGTGGAGGTACGGCCGGGAACGGTGGAAGAGAGCCTCAGACGGAGGGCAGCGTGCTCAAAGGGAGTCGCTTGGGAGGCAGAGTGGCTTCGTTGCATCTCTTAACTGCGTGACTCGGGGCACATCGTTAAACCCAGAACTGGAGTTTTCTGACCCCCGAAGTTGAAAAGAAAGATGAGCAACCCTGTAGCCGAACAGGTGGATCTGAGGGTTGGGAGAGAGATGTGCTCAGGTGTACTCTCAGAGTGCCGACGCCAGCACTTACGCTTACGGAGCCTGCGGACTGAGGCTGCTTCGGGTCAGCAAGAACACCAACGTGAAGGCCATTTTGATGAGTCCCGTGGGTGACAGGCCTCCGGGCCGGGACAAACCCAGCACCTGACCGTACGCCTGAACCGACCCGGCATGCGAATGAAGATCCACTGTTCACTGATTAAGGAAAGACGAATTGCTCCGTTACTAATGCGAACTTTCTGTCCTAAAGTAAGAAGTATGTTGTGTTCCAAAAACACCGGCTCAGGTGGGAGACGGCACCGACCTGTCTTGACTTTGTAGTTCACCGTCCTAATAGTGGTAAGAGAGCATTTCGCCTTCTTGAAAGACAAGTGAGATTTATTATTAGTTAAGTCTCCACACGGCAGTCAGCCCAGAGAGACCGAGGGGGCGAAGCTGAGGTTATCAAGCAAGTGTAGACAGTGAGTGGCATTATTTAGATTGTGTCAAGCTGGATATACACAGAAACCTGAATGTGCTGGCTTAGTCGAGCAGGGGGTTCAAGGAACCAGTTCCTTTTTTTCTCCCACTCACTGTAGTGACGGAGGGAGGAAGAGGGGAGGGAGGAAGAGGAGAGGGAGGATGAGTGGGAGGCCCAAACCGCCTGAACTCAGCCCACATCATTGTAAAGACACCCAGGCTGGTAAAAATGACACCCAACAGAAGTAGCAGAGCCCTCTCCCTTGGACGCTTGGGCTGGGCCGGTGCGGGCCGTGGGAGCTGTGTGTGGTGAACCGGGTCTGGGAAGCTGGTTTACCAGCTGGCGGGAGATGGGAAATCCCTGCCGAGTCTCCTGGGCTACGGTGCTTCGCTGACAGTTGCGAACAGTGGCAGATTCCCTCACACACAGAAGTACAGCGTCTGAATATTGCAGGGTAAGAGGTTACGAGGGGAAGGGGCGATTAATAGAAGTTGAAAGTGAGAGGCTCACTGGGGGGGGGCCTGTGTCCCGGGGAGCTCAGCCGCCCCTAACTCCCCCAACGCCCCCCCCAAGGGCATCCTGCCCCCTCCAAAGTCCCCGGGGACCTCCAGGCCTCTTTCTCAATACTCCAAATCATGGAGGAAACAACGGCTCTTTCTAAATATGGAGAAAATAAATTGCCAAAGTGGGGGAAAATCGATCGTGAATATAGATTTTTAAAC